ACTAGCCCACCGATGTTCAATGCCAGCAAGAGGTAAACATTGCTTCTGGTTGTAAACTCAAACGCAAAATAAATCCCGTCCCTCGTTCGATGGTACGTTCGAGGTATGCCCATACGATGAGGTGTTCGGGCTTCCTCCGAAAATGGTGCCAAAGACGAGCAGCAACGATCGAGGGAATCGGCTGGAAGCAGGCATTGCTTCAATGCGTCATGTTGAGCGCGAAATGGCTTTACACGCTCGGATATCGGGTTTTCGTGGTGAGTAGCAAAAAACCAGGCCATTGTGGGTAGTGCGTTTCGATGGAGAAAAGCAGCCGACCATGCGCAAATGCATGTGAACCGTAAGGCAATCCAAACGAGTAGGGATCTGAGGCAACTTCGGCGGGTAAAAGGCTTTTGCACAAGTCCAACCATCGCTAGAACCTTGGCTAAGTTAGTAGAAAATGTACGTGCATGGTTTGAAAGCTTGAATGACAGTGCTGGTCAAATCAGAATTATTTCAGCACAGAGAAAAAATAGCATAGAAATGAGGGAAGAAAGACCAGCAAATTAGGGCTAAAGAAATGAGTACACAGAAAACAGCGTACAGAACGCAGAGCAAGATTGAAGGATGTTCGAATAACATCCGGTCATCCCGCTGAACCATCGCGGTACTAAAATACTGGCCGGTGGGAAACGAACAACGAGGAAACGAGTAAAGCCGCTTGTTGTTGTTGTTGACCATGGTTGAAGACCTCCGAAAGCACGAATGAGGAAAGTATAAAAATTGCTGATGGTGTCTCACAGCCGCAAAAGTGTTAAAAAAAAATTAGGGACGAGTCAAAGAACCACGTGACAGAAACAGCAGAAGACGCGAGGATCGGTTCGCAAACATAGACGTTCAGCTTACGAGAGCTGAATGATCAAGAAACGTCGCGCTTACGACTTTTTCCGAGCCTCACCTCAAGCAAGGAACCTCGTTCGAAACGCAGATGATGGTTTTGAGGTCATCGAATGTGGTGGCAGAAAAGGTGAACAAAGGCGACAACGGGAACGAAAACGACGACCAAACGAAACTTATGTGTCGCCTTTACCGGTTACGGTTCGGAGTGATAAATCAAGCAGAAAATTACCGCAAAGCGCCGGCGCGTGTGTGTGACTCGATGCCTCATCCATCTTCGACCAGAAGAAACGAAAAACGCTATTTTTCGACTCCGGCACAAATCAACAAAGAAAGTGATATTAGCAGACGGTCGGTCGGTACACGATTTCTAAAGCCGAACAATTTCTCTTATCACTTTTTTAATATTTTTTTCGTACTCTCATTCTTGCCTCGATCCTCACCTGTGTGCTTCGTCGAAATCATGCCTGAAGTCGCAACCTCACCACTTGCATCACCATCGGAGCCTAGCACCAGCGGATATCTACCAAACCCTAGAACGCCGCTAGGCCTGTGTGTAGCGGTCGGTTCGAGCCGCGTGACAACCGTTGCCTCCACCACCACTGCCACTGGCATCGCTACCTCCGCCGTGGCTGACGTCGCTTCGGTAAACACCACCGAACCAAAGCACAACGAACGGCAGGCAGTAGTCTGTCGTCGTCGTCGTCGTCTGTCTGTCCGTCCATCCGTCAGGCGACGATGCACACAAAATGTGGGACAGCTTTAAAATATGATAACAGAGAAGTCGCGACAGTCAGCTGTCGTCGTGTCTGAGGGTGCCTCGAGTGCACCGCATGGCGACCGACGAACGAACGAGTTTCGTCGTTGCAGCCTCCTCGCCGAGGCGCGCATCTGAGACGGAGTTTTTCGACCCTTAGCCGTTGGTGGCCACGGTCAATCGGGATATAATAAAACCAGGACATAAATTTACACTGGCGTCAGTCGGTCGGTCGGTCGCAAAAAACCATTCCAATCACCTTCTTCACAAGTCCCTCATATCAGATCCTCAAACCACTACTTTTCTTGTTCTTCCTCATATCGACTAGCCAATTCTTGGGTTGGATTGCTTTCCAATATCATAGCATGAGTCCATGAGCAGGGAATCCGTCAGCCGCCCTCTCCAATCATTCGCCGTAACGGCAGACATCTTAATGACCCTCCATCAATGACTTGGAAACTATGTACAAGTACAAATCAGCCTTCAAGAGAACAAATGCCGCTGAAACTCGTTTCAAAGCCTATAATGCCATTGAAGGGAGTCTGTGTACAAAACTTTTTGACGAAACTCTGGCACCCAGACATGGCAGACGACCTGCCACCACGGACAATCGACATGCTTTAATTTCATCTCTTGACATCGACACTCTCTATACTGCATTTGTTTTCCAACGGTCAACCGGAAGACAGCGTCAAAAGCAGATCTCAAGCAGCTACGCAAAAAAAAGTTCGCCTCGATTGTTAATCCCTTGACTAGGTTGTCGATAGGTTGCCAAATGAAGAGCCGAGTCCAAATCATTTTCATTTTTTATGTGTTTCAATAATATTTTCCACGAAGGTGAAGTATCGAAAGAGCGAATAAGAAATATTCTGGTACGGTCCCAAATTTCTGCTGTGGTATAAACCTACAATCCGGTCCAGAAAAAGCAGTGTGGCTTCACGTTAGGCCGAAGCACCTCTGAACAGATTTCCGCCTTACGCCAAACTGTTGAGAAATCAAAGGAATTCTCTTATTCGATCTACATACGCTTTTCTGACCTATAGGAAGCTCTTCGGACCCCGGATAC